TACTTGTTGTCGTGAGGGTTGTTAACACCAGTTGACTTTGCTTTCCATTTTCCAACTCAGTGCAGACAGTGACAGAGTATTCAGTACCAGGTTTCAGGTCAGAGAGAGTGATGCTGTGTGAAGATGTGGTAGTGATGTGTGGTTCTGTCCCTGGACAGCGGTAGGAGATCTGGTAATAATGTTGGGTTTGGTCCAATCCTGGTGGCTGGCTCCAGCTAACAGCAGCTGATGTGGTGTCCACTGAGTCAACATTCAGCTGGTCTGGAGCAGGAAGTACTAAGGGAAAACACATTATTGTCAGTGCTATAGTTTAACTCCAGAAATATATTACAGGAGGAAAAGTAGAATAAAGCCAGAGATAAACATGTCTGCAATTCCTTTTGAAAGAAATAAATTAAACACAGAAGTCACAACAGAAGTAGTATTTGTAATGTAACAAAAATGAAGTGTTTCCGCTATATTCATTTAGCAACATCGCTTTGCCGCTGTTCAATTGTTTCCGCAAAATATATGAATTAAATGTTTCTTTGGATTATAAATACTCCACAATAATACGTGTTTTACACTGTACTTTGGATAAGGTTAAAGCAAGCAGAGGCAGATCAACTCCTTTCCATACTGTAATGCAGGGGTTCCCAAACCTTTTTGGCCCACGACCACATTTTGATATCAAACAATTCTCGGGACCCCAACTATAGTAACTTGACAAGGAATGCCCACACGCATTTCAATATTACTTTCCTTTAGTTTCAACCTAAGAAATAAAAGGTGTACAGCCATGTACAAACAGTACAAATACAGCAAAACGATACAGCCCACTCAACATGTGGTAGAGTCGCATTGTACAGATCTGACTCTGGGTGATGACATCATCAAAGGGGAAAGGTCACGGTCAATGCCAATAATAACCATGCACACATGAATAGTAATCATACTATACTGCAGGTAAGTACAACACATATTCAATGTAATTATTTATATAATCCATTAACAAAAATATAGTTAATTAATAGCCAATGCTTACTTTTTTATTTGAGGCTATCGCAGTCAATTGCAAAACATTCTGACAGTACAGTGCCTTGCAAAAGTATTCACCCCCCTTGGTGTTTTTCCTATTTTGTTGCATTACAACCTGTAATCTAAATTGATTTTTATTTGGATTTCATGTATTGAAATAGCCCAAATCGGTGAAGTGAAATGAAAAAAATTACTTGTTTCAAACAATTCTAAAAAATAAATCACGGAAAATTGGTGCGTGCATATGTATTCACCCCTTTTGCTATGAAGCCCCTAAATAAGATCTGGGGCAACCAATTACCTTCAGAAGTCACATAATTAGTTAAATAAAGTCCACCTGTGTGCAATGATCTGTCACATGATCTCAGTATATATACAACTGTTCTGAAAGGCCCCAGAGTCTGCAACACCACTAAGCAAGGGGCACCACCAAGCAAGCGGCACCATGAAGACCAAGGATCTCTCCAAACAGGTCAGGGACAAAGTTGTGGAGAAGTACAGATCAGGGTTGGGTTATAAAAAAATACCAGAAACTTTTAACATCCCACGGAGCACCATTAAATCCATTATTAAAAAATTGAAAGAATATGGCAACACTAGAAACCTGCCAAGAGAGGGCCGCCCACTAAAACTCACGGACCGGGCAAGGAGGGCATTAATCAGAGAGGCAACAAAGAGACCAAAGATAACCCTGAAGGAGCTGCAAAGCTCCACAGCGGAGATTGGAGTATCTGTTCATAAGACCACTTTAAGCTGTACACTCCACAGAGCTGGGCTTTACGGAAGAGTGGCCAGAAAAAAGCCATTGCTTAAAGAAAAAAATAAGCAAACACGTTTGGTGTTCGCCAAAAGGCATGTGGGAGACTCCCCAAACATATGGAAGAAGGTACTCTGGTCAGATGAGACTAAAATTGAGCTTTGTGGCCATCAAGGAAAACACTATGTCTGGCGCAAACCCAACACCTCTCATCACCCCGAGAACACCATCCCCACAGTGAAGCATGGTGGTGCCAGCATCATGCTGTGGGGATGTTTTTCATCGGCATGGACTGGGAAACTGGTCAGAATTGAAGGAATGATGGATGGTGCTAAATACAGGGAAATTCTTGAGGAAAACCTGTTTCAGTCTTCCAGAGATTTGAGACTGGGACGGAGGTTCACCATCCAGCAGGACAATGACCCTAAGCATACTTCTAAAGCAACACTTGAGTGGTTTAAGGGGAAACATTTAAATGTCTTGGAATGGCCTAATCAAAGCCCAGACCTCAATCCAATTGAGAATCTGTGGTATGACTTAAAGATTGCTGTACACCAGCGGAATCCATCCAACTTGAAGGAGCTGGAGCAGTTTTTCATTGAAGAATGGGCAAAAATCCCAGTGGCTAGATGTGCCAAGCTTATAGAGACATACCCCAAGAGTCTTGCAGCTGTAATTTCTGCAAAAGGTGGCTCTAAAAAGTATTGACTTTGGGGGGGTGAATAGTTATGCATGCTCAAGTTTTCCGTTTTTTTGTCTTATTTCTTATTTGTTTCACAAGAAAAAATATTTTGCATCTTCAAAGTGGTAGGCATGTTGTGTAAATCAAATGATACAAACCACCCAAAAATCTATTTTAATTCCAGGTTGTAAGGCAACAAAATAGGATACTTTCACAAGCCACTGTAAGCTGGGGAGTTTTTGAGTCGTTCAGTCAGATTTCCTCTTGATTGCTTGATATAGCATAAATTATTTGTTTCACAGTGTTATCTGACAAAGGTATTGATGTGAGTTTCTGTGCCTCTGCCTCCCCTTACCATACAGTATTTTTCCACCATATCAATTGCGGCCGGTAATATCAAACTCTGCAGTAGTGTGTGGTGTCATAGTGTAGAGGGCCTAGTGTGGTGTCATAGTGTAGAGGGCCTAGTGTGGTGTCATAGTGTAGAGGGCCTAGTGTGGTGTCATAGTGTAGAGGGCCTAGTGTGGTGTCATAGTGTAGAGGGCCTAGTGTGGTGTCATAGTGTAGAGGGCCTAGTGTGGTGTCATAGTGTAGAGGGCCTAGTGTGGTGTCATAGTGTAGAGGGCCTAGTGTGGTGTCATGGTGTAGAGGGCCTAGTGTGGTGTCATAGTGTAGAGGGCCTAGTGTGGTGTCATAGTGTAGAGGGCCTAGTGTGGTGTCATAGTGTAGAGGGCCTAGTGTGGTGTCATAGTGTAGAGGGCCTAGTGTGGTGTCATAGTGTAGAGGGCCTAGTGTGGTGTCATAGTGTAGAGGACCTAGTGTGGTGTCATAGTGTAGAGGGCCTAGTGTGGTGTCATAGTGTAGAGGGCCTAGTCATTCGCTGTGGGATTGAAGTGCAGCCTTTTTCCCACAAAGGGCTCTCTGGTTGAATTTGATCTTTTAGATTTGAATAATTTTCATTTATATTTTTAAGGTTAACCACATTACAATGCTTGAGATACAAAGATGGCATTATTAAATATATATACCGTAAATATAATATATACAGTACAAGTCAAAAGTTTGGACACACCTACTCACCTACTCAATCCAGGATTTTTCTTTATTTTTACTATTTTCTACATTGTAGAATAATAGTGAAGACATCAAAAGTATGAAATAACACACATGGAATCATGTAGTAACCAAAAAAAAGTGTTAAACAAATCCAAATATATGCTGCCTTGATGACAGCTTTGAAAACTCTTGGCACTTTTTCAACCAGCTTCACCTGGAATGCTTTTCCAACAGTCTTGAAGGAGTTCCCACATATTCTGAGCACTTGTTGGCTGCTTTTCCTTCACTCTGCAGTCCGACTCATCCCAAACCATCTCAATTGGGTTGAGGTCGGGGGATTGTGAAGACCAGGTCATCTGATGCAGCACTCCATCATGCTCCTTCTTGGTAAAATAGCCCTTACACAGCCTCCATATCTGTTATTTCATACTTTTGATGTCTTCACTATTATTCTACAATGTAGAAAATAGTGAAAAATTAATTAAAACCCTTGAATGAGTAGGTGTGTACAAACTTTTGACTGGTACTGTCTAACAAAACCGTTTGACATAGAAACACTGGATTTTCGGTGGGTTATATGAAATAATGTTTATTAATTATAAGATTATGTAAAATATTAATAACAGTCCACCCATGAGGCCACTAGGTTATTTGACTACGAACTAAACATTTAAATATATCCCATTGAAGTCTATGGAGCTTGATGCAAATGTAAAACAGTTATAGTTCAAAAAGTATACATAGTATCAAAAAGGTGTATTTCAGCAATCGATTGTGAATAATTCTGCACATTTTAAAGTTGTTTTGGTGTTGGTAGCTTTTAAGGTTTTGGCGCTACAGGTGGCAGCGGATAATAATAACTAGAAAAGTACATGTCCTAAACCAAATGTGTGCACTTCTTAGCTTGTCTTGAATTCTTAATGGTTGATAGGATAGGATAGCCTGAACATCTGAAAGTTGGTTTTTGTTAATCTAGTTTGGTTCAAGAGTTACTATTAATGTTGGTGGGCTCTTTTATGCTAGGCCATGCTAATTTAAATAGTTACAATTTATAAAGTTTTTTTAAATGTTAATTGTTTTAATGTTTGTAGCTGAAATGGTTAAAGAGCAGTAGCATGTAAAATATATACAGCCTGTATGTTTTGTTTCAACCCATTAACACAGGGGAGAAAGTACCAGTGAATTGTGCCTTAATAGTTTGAACACATACCTTCATTTAAAACCTGGTTTTGATGTTGCTCTTCACCTTGAGTCTTCTATATCAAAAAGGACAACAGAAGAAGAAAAAATGTGAGGATCACGAAGGAGCAACATGTCTTCTATGACATCATCAATATGAGATAGTTTTCAGAACAAGTGGTATTTTATGGAGAAACAAACATTTTGTATAGTGGGATGCAAAAAAAGTTGCACTACTTTGTATTGGACAATGATGACAACAGAGGAAAGTCAGCATGTTTTCTGATAAAGGGGAGAAGAAAGCATAAACTATACCTGTCTTCCTGCTTGTTTTATCTCTTCATAGACTACATCATGTCCTTTGTGTTCTGTTACTGCACACAGACTGCAGATCAGCTTCTGGTCTGTCCTGCAGAACACCTCCAGAGCTCTGTGGTGCTCCTGACAGAGTCTCTCCTCCAGGTCTCCAGTCACCTCCACCAGGGTGTGTCTCTGTAGTTTAGGTACTGTGTAATGCTTCCTAACGTGGGTCTCACAGTAGGACTGAGTGCAGGTCTGACAGAACTTCACAGCTTGGACCTCACAGACATCACAGAACACCTCTCCTGGGCTGATGATGCTAAGTGGAAGGAAATTACACACATTAAAACATAACAAAATACATTAACGTATTAGATTTACAGTGAGGGAACAAAGTATTTGATCCCCTGCTGATTTTGTACGTTTGCAAACTGACAAAGAAATGATCAGACTATAATATTAATGGTAGGTTTATTTGAACAGTGAGAGACAGAATAACAAAAAAATCCAGAAAAACACATGTAAAAAATGTTATAAATTGATTTGCATTTTAATGAGGGAAATAAGTATTTGACCCTCTCCCAATCAGAAAGATTTCTGTCTCCAAGGTGTCTTTTATACAGGTAACGGGCTGAGATTAGGAGCACACTCTTAAAGGGATGGGATCACCACATTAAAGATGCACTATGCAGAAAAGCTCCGCCATTTCCTGGTTGCTAACATTCTAATATTTTACCTAATTTCAGTTTGTGACAAAACAAGCAGTCGTTGTGTAGAGAATCATTGTACCATCTAAACCACTGTGAAATATATTTTCCATAACCAAAAATATTGTATTTTCAGCTGTTTGAAGCTGGTGTACAAAACCTAAAGTAAAATATACAACAACGAAACTTCAGAACGCAAAGCACAGAAATGGCAGACATAGAACAGATCTACCACTTCTTAGACTTGCTCTTCAACGGGAATAAAATGTCTATAACTTACAATTCTATGTGAATTTTGGTTGGATCTCCCAAAAAGTTACATAATGTAGCTTTAAGTAGTCCATATTTGTTCACCACTCCACATAAGATCATTTATTTTATTAAATTGCATTTTATTCAACTAGCAAACAATAAAATGTGGCTTCTGCTTGTTTCCTAACCCCCCACAACAGTAGCGGTGCCTTTCGTGAAGGCAATTCTTGAACTGCTCGAGCGGAGCGTGGGTAAAATCACTGGGGAAGACAAGCCAGAAAAAAATGCCTTATTAAAGTTATAATCTATGTGTTGTAATAATTGCGTTGTTTGCTCTATAACCCGTTAGTTCATATGCCTTACCATCGTGATACAGTACATTCGGAAAGTATTCAAACCCCTTAATTTTTTTCCACATTTTGTTACGTTACAGTCTTATTCTAAAATTGATTAAATAAGTTACCGCAAGTCACAAAGAAAACAGGAGCTGCCTCCACTATTCCAGCACCATTTCAACTTTAAAATGTAAACATCATCAAATCACCTATGCTTACTTTAATACAGTGACTAAAAGATAAAAAAAACTATTTAGTTAAATATCATGTGGCTGTCCATGGTACTGATTTCTCTCTGTGTGAGTGTTTGTGTGCATAAGTAGAAAAAACATGTTGACTACATGTAGAGAAACGCCAATGCCATCCTCCTCTCTTTCATGTTGAAGAAACGGTCTATGACTCTGTCATACAGTCCACACTTTTAGTTTTTGTTGTCCTAGGTTACCTGGCTAAAATGCTTGCTTGCTAGCCTAACTTCCTGTCATGGCCAACGATGAGCCAGCTAGTTAACATTAGCCTACTACATCTAGCTACAGTACATATTGAACTTCCATCCTCTCAGGCCAGGGGCACAACAATGTATGAGGTAATGGTTGGATCAGAATTGCCGTTATAATCATTGGCCAGTACGGAGAATTAAGTAAAACCACAAGTCCAAATCCCTATCTCCATCCATGGCTAATTTAGGAAAGGGACAATTTTAATTAGCCAGCAAGCCACCGGAGGACAACAACACAACGAGATGCAACCATTCAAAAAATTTTCTGTCACATTACTTTTGGCTTGATGTGATGTGATTGGTGTAAAGCTTCCCTTCACACTTTTTTCACTCAGTTTAGCTCAACACTGATTGGCTATTATTGTATTATTTTTTTTATCAAGGGAGGCCAAATGCTCGCTGGCTTCCCTTGCATTCAATGCTACGGACGACAACATTGTCATAATCTTTTTGACCAGACAGAATCAGATATAATGGCTACACATACAGAGGTAGAGGTGCTTACTCAGATGCTTTCTCCAATGAGATACATTCGTTCTCTTGCAAATTGAAGAAGAATAGATACATGATTATAAAAAAAAATTTTGGTACATGTTTTGGGGAAGCATCCATAAATACACGCCACTGCATCCCACACACACAACTCTGAGAGGAGCAGTGACCATGGAGAAGTTGTGTGCTTGAGCAAGGACACAACAGTAGGAGATAGTAGTTATGATCCAACAACAGCCCTGCAAGATCAATTGTGAAAACTTTGAGCATCTTTCTTTGTTCACAGAAACAATTTGAAGCATCTCCAGCTACGTACAGATAGTCATATGTCTATGAGTGACCAGATTGACCAGTCAGTGAATTCAAGCATAGACCCAAGTGATGATGGAGACCAAATCATGGATGAAAGGTAAACCAACAACACATGCATTATTACATGGAGTTGTATGACATACACTACATAACCAAAAGTATGTGGACACATCCTCGTTGAACATCTCATTCCAAAATCATGGGTATTAATATGGAGTTGGTCCCCCCTTTGCTGCTATAACAGCCTCCACTCTTCTGGGAAGGTTTTCCACTAGATGTTGGAACATTGCTGAGGGGACTTGCTTCCATTCAGCCTCAAGAGCATTAGTGGGGTCGGGCACTGATGTTGGGCGATTAGGCCTCGGCGTTCATCCCAAATGTGTTTGATGGGGTTGAGGTCAGGGCTCTGAGCAGGCCAGTTAAGATCTTCCACACCGATCTCGACAAACCATTAATGTATGGACTTCGCTCTGTGCATGGGGGCATTCTCATGCTGAAACAGGTAAGGGCCTTCCCCAAACTGTTGCCACAAAGATTACATTTGTCCGTCGGACTGCCAGATGGTGAAGCGGGATTCATCACTCCAAAGAACGCATTTCCACTGCTCCAGAGTCCAATGGCGGCGATCTTTACACCAGTCCAGCCGATGCTTGGCATTGTGCATGGTGATCTTAGGCTTGTGTGCGGCTGCTCGGCCATGGAAACCCATTTCATGAAGCTCCCGACGAACAGTTTTTGTGCTGATGTTGCTTCAAGAAGCTGTTTGGAACTGGGTAGTGAGTGTTATAACCGAGGACAGACAATTTGTTTGTGCTACGCGCTTCAGCACTCCGCGTTCCCTTTCTGTGAGCTTGTGTGGCCTACCACTTTGCAGGTGAGCCGTTGTTGCTCCTAGACGTTACCACTTCACAATAACAGCACTTACATTTGCCTCGGGCAGCTCTAGCAGGGCAGAAATTTGACAAACTGACTTGTTGGAAAGGTGGCATCCTATGATGGTGACACGTTGAAAGTCACTGAGCTCTTCAGTAAGGCCATTATATTGCCAATCTTTGTCTATGGAGATTGCATGGCTTTGTACTCAATTTTATATACCTGTCAGCAACGGGTGTAGCTGAAATAGACATATCGAACTAATTTGAAGGGTGTCCACATACTTTTATATATATAGTGTACATGATTGACATGTATATAAAGTAAATGTTTCTTGTGAAATTTAAAGTCAGACGTTTCTTGAAGTTGGCCACCAGGTTTGCACACATCTCAGGAGGGATTTTGTCCCACTCCTCTTTGCAGATCTTCTCCAAGTCATTAAGGTTTCGAGGCTGACGTTTGGCAACTCAAACCTTCAGCTCCCTCCACAGATTTTCTATGGGATTAAGGTCTGGAGACTGGCTAGGCCACTCCAGGACCTTAATGTGCTTCATCTTGAGCCCCGTCCATCGTCCCTTTGATGCGGTGAAGTTGTCCTGTCCCCTTAGCAGAAAAACACCCCCAAACATAATGTTTCCACCTCCATGTTTGACGGTGGGGATGGTGTTCTTGGGGTCATAGGCAGCATTCCTCCTCCTCCAAACACGGCGAGTTGAGTTGATGCCAAAGAGCTCCATTTTGGTCTCATCTGACCACAACACTTTCACCCAGTTCTCCTCTGAATCATTCAGATGTTCATTGGCAAACTTCAGACGGGCCTGTATATGTGCTTTCTTGAGCAGGGGGACCTTGCGGGCGCTGCAGGATTTCATTCCTTCGCGGCGTAGTGTGATACCAATTGTTTTCTTGGTGACTATGGTCCCAGCTGCCTTGAGATCATTGACAAGATCCTCCCGTGTAGTTCTGGGCTGATTCCTCACCGTTCTCATGATCATTGCAACTCCACGAGGTGAGATCTTGCATCGAGCGCCAGGCCGAGGGAGATTGACAGTTATTTTGTGTTTCTTCCATTTGCGAATAATCGCACCAACTGTTGTCACCTTCTCACCAAGCTGCTTGGCGATGGTCTTGTAGCCCATTCCAGCCTTATGTAGGTCTACAATCTTGTCCCTGACATCCTTGGAGAGCTCTTTGGTCTTGGCCATGGTGGTGAGTTTGGAATCTGATTGATTGCTTCTGTGGACCGGTGTCTTTTATACAGGCAACCCTTTGGCAAGGCAATCCCAAATGGCAACCCTGATCCCATTTGGGATCCCGTGCGTTGTTATTTTAAGAGACACTTGCTGATCAATTGACATTTTTCTCAACCAATGAGAAGTTACAAAAGGTTTTCAGAGAAAAGAGGTGGATCTAGTGGAGAACGAAGAATGAGATGAAATGAGAGGACATGCATGTAAAATACCATTTAACGTGAGTTACATAGAGTCAAGAAGTGTATTTTGAGCTGAGAAAGTAACTGCCTTATAAAGGTAAATTAAAGTGGGACTGACAGCGTTTTAGCAACATGAACTTTCTCATTAAAATCTCTTCACATACACCCCCAGGAAGAATATGACACCTTTTTTTGTGTTCAGAGCACAAACTGCACTATTGACACCGGACGCTCTGGCCGAGGAGTAGCGTTGATCCGAGCGTTCTGACCTCACAACAGCAGTCAAGCACCCAAGCTAACTGGCTAACGTTGGATGGTTGGCTAGCTACTTCCAACACAAATGAGAGAACACCTCACTCTGACCATTTTCACTCGCCCTAGCAGAGCTGGTTAGGCTGTTTTCATGTTATCTACAGCATTAGTAACTGTACTGCTGGTAACAATTATTATTATTTTTTTTTGCCGACTGTTTACTGACACCGGTCCTATTCAACGGGTATTGCACGTTTGTAAATTCATCAGTTATAGTCCGCCACAGTGGACGCGTGTCACGCCCTGATCGAGATAACTCTTGTTGGTTGGGTCAGGGTGTGAGTGTCGTTTTAGATCTATGTTATTAGATTCTATGTTTAAGATCTAGTATGTGTATTTCTATGTTTGGCCAGGTGTGATTCCCAAGCAGCTGTCGCTCGTTGTCTCTGATTGGGGATCATACTTAGGTAGCCTGGTTGCCTACGTTAGTTGTGGGATCTTGATGCTTGTTGTGTGTAGCCACTGTTGAGCTTCACATTACTTTCTGTTGTTTTGTCGAGTGTTTATCAGTTCTAATAAACATGTACGCATACCATGCTGCACCTTGGTCTGACCCGTCTCTCAACGATCGTGACAACGCGTCATAATACCCATAAAAACACGGAAATGGTTCCAATGGTTTTTCTGCCATTCATTTTTCACATCGTACATTAAAAAAAAATCGAATTAATTGAGTATTTGGTGTCTCTTGGACAAGGTGAGCTTAATCAATATATTCACCTCAATTTGGGCAGCAAACAATAAAACCTGATGGCAATCAATATGTTTTGGACTACCAAGAAATGTATTTGTGAATTATATAATCATGCATTGAACTGCATCCATCTATTCTGCCAAAAATGGCTTAGTGTACTTCATGGAATTTTTTGTCATAGAACCTATTTTTTAAACCTCTTATAAAGTTGGTTTTGTAGCATAAACTGGGAATTTTATATTTTTGACTGATATTATGATTGTCTGTTTCATATCTGCAAAGTAGTTAAAACGCTGTCAGTTCCACTTTAAATAAGATGTTTATGGACGTTTTACTGCAGTTTAGGCTGGTCAACTGCGCCTAGCAAAAGTGGTAGAATAGTCAGCTAGCCACAGTCAGGCTGCTACTGTGCTACAGTATGCAGTGAGACAGATGCGCTGCATGTACCTGAATGAGAGACTTCGCCAGTCAAGAGGAGAGAAAAGCTACGGTTAAACTAAACAGACTTCGCAGGTCAAGAGGACAGCTACGGTAAAGAGCTGCACTGTAAGAGTGAAGTGGAGAGAGAAGGACACGCGGTGCAGTCAGCATACACGACAGACCGCTGATTCAGACTTGAGATACATGCACTTAAAAGGAACTTAATTTATTTGACACTTTCCTCTCGGAGTTACGCGTATTCTGCCTTTGGCTTAATTTCTTTAGAATTGTGCCACCCTTGTGCGTCTGGAAACTATGAATAAATGGAGCAAACCTGTTGGTTGCATGATGTGATGAAACAACTTTCTGTTGTGTTTTCACCTAACTTTGACATAAGTAGGTCAAGTAAATAGCCTTGCACGAGTATTAGCTTGTAAGGGCCGGAACGACTCATAAGAGCAAAAGCCTATCTCCTGTTTCAGTAGCGAGAGGCAGCTTGATGTATACCCCTGTACAGGATGATAGTCTATCGGAGGGCCTTACCCCAAATCTATCTCCTTAATACTGAGTGTCAAGCAGAGACGATACAGTCTTTGGTATGACTAGGCCGGGGATCAAACTCCCAACCTTCCCACGAGCAATGCAATTCAATGCACAATTTGATAATAATTATTATAATGGAGAACTGGATTGTGCATTGTAGGTAACCCAAATACTGCATATTGGTATCTACACATACAGTATGTATTTAACGTCATATAATGTATGGGAAACCAAATTGTCTAGCAGGTGTAGGTACACCTGTAGCAGCTGGAATGATTCGATCCCTTGATAAAGATGAGTGAAAAATACAGTATAAAATAAATAATATAAATACTGAACTATACTAAACAAAAATATAAATGTAACATGCAACAATTTCAAAGATTGTACTGAGTTACAGTTCATTTAAGGAAATCAGTCAATTGAAATAAATTCATTAGGCCCTAATCTATGGATTTCAAATGACTGGGAATAAAGATATGCATCTGTTGGTTACAGATACGCCCCCCCCAAAAAAATTAGGGGCGTGGATCAGAAAACCAGTCAATATCTGGTGTGACCACCATTTGCCTCATGCAGCGCAACACATCTCCTTCGCATAGAGTTGATCAGGCTGTTGATTGTGGCCTGTGGAATAATGTTCCACTCATTTTACATTTACATTTTAGCAGACGCTCTTATCCAGAGTGACTTACAGTTAGTGAGCGCATAAAAAATTGTTCCACTCCTTTTCAATTGCTGTGCTACGTTGCTGGATATTGGCGGGAACTGGAACACGCTGTCATACACGTCGATCCAGAGTATGCAGGCCATGGAAGAACTGGGACATTTTCAGCTTCCAGGAATTGTGTACAGATCCTTGCGACATTGGGCCGTACATTATCATGCTGTAACATGAGGTGATGGCGGCGGATGAATGGCACAACAATGGGCCTCAGGATCTCGTCACAGTATCTCTGTGCATTCAAATTGACATCAATAAAATGCAATTGTGTTCATAGCTTATGTCTGACCTTACCATAACCCCACCGCCACCATCTGTTCACAACGTTGACTTCAGATAACCGCTCACCCACACGACGCCGGTTGGACGAACTGACAAATTTTAAAACGACTTTGGAGGTAACTTATGGTAGAGAAATTACCATTACATTTTCTGGCAACAGTTCTGGTGGACATTCCTGCAGTCAGCATGCCAATTGCACGCTCCCTCCAAACTTGAGACATATGTGGCATTGTGTTGTATGACAAAACTGCACATTTTAGAGTGGCCTTTTATTGTCCTCAGCACAAGGTGCACCTGTGTAATGATCATGCTGTTTAATCAGCTTCTTGATATGCCACACCTGTCAAGTGGATGGATTATCTTGGCAAAAGAGAAATGCTCACTAACAAGGATGTAAGCAAATGTGTGCAGAATTTGAGAGAAATAAGCTTTTTATGTGTATGGAAGATTTCTGGGATCTTTTATTTCAGCTCATGAAACATGGGACCTTTACAGACTTTACATGTTGCGTTTATATTTTTGTTCAGTTTAGTTCACTATATAAGGTGCCATTTCAGACGTCAGTGTATATTGTATGCTCCCAAAAATTATATTATATACTAATACAATTGCTCAGATATATATATATATATATATATATATAAATATATATAAATATATATACACAGTACCAGTCAAAAGTTTGGACACACCTACTCATTCCAAGGTTTTTCTTTATTTTTACTATTTTCTACATTGTAGAATAATAGTGAAGACATTTAAACTATGAAATAACACATATGGAATCATGTGGTAACCAAAAAGTGTTAAACAAATCAAAATATATTATATATTTGAGATTCTTCAAAGTAGCCACCCTTTGCCTTGATGACAGCTTTGCACACTCTTGGCATTCTCTCAACCAGCTTCATGAGGTAGTCACCTGGAATGCATTTCAATGAACAGGTGTGCCTTGTTAAAAGTTAATTTGTGGAATTTCTTTCCTTCTTAATGCGTTTGAGCCAATCAGTTGAGTTGTGACAAGGTAGGGGGGTATACAGAAGATAGCCCTATTTGGTAAAAGACCAAGTCCATATTATGGCAAGAACAGCTCAAGTAAGCAAAGAGAAACGACAGTCCATCATTACTTTAAGACAATAGTAAAAATAAAGAAAAACCCTTGAATGAGTAGGTGTTCTAAAACTTTTGACCGGTAGTGTATATGATGGTATTTCATGGGGGGGGGGGGGGGGGGGGACAATTTTATAAATTTTAGAATAAGGCTGTAACATAACAGAAATGTGGAAAAAGTCAAGGGGTCTGAATTCTTTCCGAATGCACCATAAATTAGTTTTTTCTGTATTTAATTTTCAATACATTTGCAAAAATAATCATTATGGGTCATTATGTTATTATGGGTATTGTATGCAGATGCGTGAGAACAAAAATAAATGTAATAATTTTTTAATCCAGGCTGTAACAACAAAATAGGGTATAAATCAAAGGGTATGAATACTTTCTGAAGGCACTGTATCTAGCTAGCATATAATTATGTAATTGAAGTAATGATAGGCCTACTACTAATATCCTAAACACATTATAATGCCGAGCACTTCAAAGCAGCACCCCTCTCTCTCACTCTCTCTCCATCCCGCAAAATGTAAGTCACATCTCGCGCCCTACACTTGTCTGTCATTCAAGGATGTAAACTAGCTTGCCCGGTCCATACAAAGCTGCTCTATCTGCACTGACTGGTGGAGTAATTTAATGAGCTAAATGTAAAAACTATGTTGACTTCACAAAAAGGAACAGAAAATAATGATATAAACCAGTACTTTTATCTCAGGCGAACCTGTTCAGAACTTTATTATGCTGGTCAGAACAGTGGAACGGAACTAAAATATTGTGGTTCTGTTCAGAAAGAAACTATTTGAAAATAATTTCAGTTCCAACCCCTGTGGTGAACACAAAT